CCTTGCCTTAATCTCAGCCTACGCGCACTTGGTTGTGGTGTCGACTTTCTGGTCCACCAACCAATGATCATCTCTTATCGAGGGATCTGCTTTCCCGAATCCACCAAGGATGTTATTGAACTGGAACCTCCTAAGGTCACAGTCAGTATCTTATGTTTGCTCAACATTCTGGGCTCTCTGCGTACTTGCGACACTTTTATGTGTGGTACATGGCGTTGAGTGTGCATTCTTGCCAACCCAGTATGACGGACACTGCATGATGTGCAATTCTTGACTGTGCTAGCGCTCACCGAACCTTGCAGAGCATTAATCATCGTTTGTCCTCTCCTCACCTCCTCCATACCAAACGTTCTTACATATGCTAGGATTTGTCTTGTCTGAATTGTTGGCGGAACGATTTCGAATAGGACGCTTCAATAATAAACAACAAATCGGGAGACGTATGTTACGGTAACTGACGTGACCAGGCAACTATGGTGTGAACTTACATGAGGTCAGTACGTTCCGATAACTCCAAGACAGTGTTGATGAGCGATGCCCATCTAATCGATCGGTCGGTCGATTTGGACAAACCTAGTATGAACAAGTTTAGTGACAAATTTGTTGTTTTTATTCATCGCTTCTTTCACAGGTTGCTACCACCGAGTCACCTTCAATTGACTTGTCTTACAGAAACGTACATCATCAAGAGATATTACTATTCGAATAAACTGAAAATAATTAGGTAGGAACATTTCGGGTTAGGAGACTATTGTTTATCAGTGTGAAATTTCCATCAAATGTGGAATTACTTCATGACATTAAACGATGGTGGCTGGGAGCCACATTTATTTGTCATTCTTCCTCAAAACCCATCATTTTTTCCATTAGTCGACAGAACACAAAATACTATGGGAGCAAGGGATCGGTGTGCCAGTGAACAGGAACTCCACATTACCCCTGTGGAATGTGGGCGAGGTAACTGCGGACGAAAAATGTAGTCGAAAACCAATGAACCCAAATTTTATTCATTTTTTATTCGACTCGTTCCGAAGTGAAAACCAGCCAGAGTACTTCAATACCAGGCACACTATCGTTAGGGCTGCGGGTCAGCACTGAGTGCTGCCTTACTCTACACATCTGTACTTCATACTACTCATATAGTAGATCTGAACCAATATTTCCAGAATGAATCAGTATGCACCTGTGTTAGTTCTGAGCGTCTAGTGTATTCGTACGGTGACAAATTATGAGCTCTACTCCACTGCGTGTAATCAGACGACGCCGTCAAATTAGATCCAGATACACACAGAGTTCCAGATAACTTCCACATGTTACCTACAAATTTAACGCATGTCCACCTGAGAGGTGTATTCATTTAGTGCTTAACTAACTAACCAACTCCATTTGGTTCACAAAGCCATCCGCAATAAAGTCTGAACACCTGGAACTCTAGCCTTCTCCTATTTCCCACTCAACACAATAAATCAAGGCCATTGGAAACTTCAGCCAATTTGTTCCAGACCAAGTGTCTAGATCATCCATCAGAGCTTTGTGAACAGTAAACGAATAATTTCAGTAACCATATCCTTCTGTCTAAATGGGTTGACGGCGTTTAGCCATGCTCTCTGCATTGTGATATCGTGAAACTCTGACCCTAGTATCCCAGAAAAGGAGGGGGCGATTATTTTTGCGTCCTCATCTCTGAGACAGCAGGCGTACAAATTGCCTGATCAGTAAACAATTAAGAGGCTTTTGTATGGGGTTCGAACCCGGGTCGTCGAAATCACGGTCCACGATCTTGGCCTTTTTACCAACCGGAAATCGGACATCAATGGGCAACCAATGATGGAACACCGACAAGTGATTTGTGATTCAGGACAACGTTCTCAGACATTGTGAAAACGAATTGACTACCAGATAGGCATACTGTCCACACTTACGCATGAATGATTAACTCTCAGACAAGTGCGCCCGACTGAAACCAGGTCATCCGGACAATGCATTGATGGGGCGTGTCGTTGGAAACCAAACTTCACGAAACCCAGGAAACGAGGGTAAACAGGACAGAGAAATGGAGACATTATCTCGACTAAAGAAGTCCTACAAGCTGTAATTGCCTAGCTGATTTGAATGCACCATGTTTGCGATATTTTATAGATTTTAGCATGCTCCAGTTATGCCTGGCTGTCAGCAAGAGTCTAAATGATTCTTCCGGATGTTCTTTAGAAAACAGTTTAAAATTTGCATTATTCTTTTAAAGCCTTTGTAGTATGGTTTTTTCAGCTTACCGACCGAAACGAATGTGGAGAATCTGAAGCAGGCATACCTCATTTGCGAATACTTTGTTGCCTTACTTGGTGCTCCTATTGCAGCTATACGATGGCGTTATTTTTTAGTACCAGCAACCTTATCATTCGGTAAGCCATCTTAAAGAGTGATTTACATTTTGTCTCAGTTCTACTAAACTCAGCTCATCTCATCTGAGAAAATTGATTTTTTTTGTCATTCCAGGCTTTTTTAATCCCAAATACATTGGTTGCAAATATGGATCAGGTGCACGAATCAAAGTAATATCTAAAGTGCGCTTCTCAATTTCATTCGGCTGGTGTTTTCAATGCAGAATTCCTGAAAGTAACCCCAAAATGCCCGGAACCTACAGAGATCCCGAAACTCCACGTAAATCTCAATAGGGAATCCGGCAAGCGTCCAGACCAGTCAATCACTCAATCGAATCAGCAAGAGCCGATAAGTGTTCACGCACGCTACAGAAGCACGAGCGAATGTGATTAGTGTTCAGACATCTCATAGTGGCACGGTCGACGTGGATGGATGTTCACTAGACGCCGATCAGACAGTCTGGATCAAGGTCAAATGTGTGAAGCCGTTGCAACTGGGTATTCTCTTGTTGCGATAACGGTGTTGTGTTCCTTGTTGACGGCACTAGGCACTGGAGCGGGGACAGCAGTCAGATATAACATGGAGTTTTTTGTCTTTCGCCCTAAAATATTTGATGCAACGAGTTGGTAGGGAGAAAACTCCAGCTGTTTCGAACTCAGTAAGATGGAGGTTTTTGCTTTTTATAAAACATTTGTTGTGCCCCCCACATTTTCCTCATCCTTGAAACAAATAATGTGTAGTTCATTCAAAAATGAACTTACAAAAGTGGATTATGTCGTAATGAGTAGGTCACCACATTCAAGGATAAAAAGCAGACTGCATCTTACGTTTGAATGCTTAACCATGCTATCACATCCGAGAAACTGCTCTCGCATTGAAGGTCAATGGAAAACATATCAGTCGCTTGATCTAAACCTTTCAGTCAGCTGCTTGGTACCTTTTGTGAATGACATTGTTACGGCATCCATTTGATCGGATTGCAAGTCTAAAAAATCGAACAAAAAGGGGGCAAAACTGTTGCGGTATTTGACTTGCTGCTTACCTAGCCTCAATGCACCATGGATGGGTTGTCACCCGTCAAACCGGTCAGCTCTGAACAGAACTATGTCGACAGAACTGTGTCAGATACTGACTGTCTCGAGTGCCCGATCGCTTTGTGCTTATATCTTAGCATCTGTTCACCCGATTGAGCCGTAGAGTAGCCCGCTCCACCTATGGGAGGGAGGTTAGTCCAGAAGGAGAAACTGTACTTCACGAAAGGATCTACTCATATGGATTTTCCTACATGTCGAAAAGTGAAGGTGAGTGACTGGAGGTCCTTGATGAGCACGGTTTTATTCTTTGCTTCCGCTGTGAAGCCATAATATATATATATATATAACATATATCGTAGCAATCATATCTAAGAATAAAATAGCCACATTGTCCCGGGGATATTCTAACATATTTTCAACGTCACAAGTTGATTGACAGCAACAAAGATGGTATCGTGAAGTGACGAAGCGGCAGGCAGAACAAGGGTCGCCGATCGATGCAACTGGCTTTGTTCTTCGCAAAAAGTAGGTTCTGTTTACTTTCCCTGACCAATAATATATAGGATAGCCACAAGTTACCCCAAAAATTAGCTTCACGTTTGTAATTTCCTCGAAATTTCTCGGAAATAGAAAAAAAGCTCATTCTTCCTACCCGTATTTGCTCATTCTTCGCAATTGTAACGCTATTTATCCGCGAAAATCCTATTACATCCTCCTAGGTAATTAGCGTTCAGACTTAGCGGAACAGCCTCACACTAAGGACTATGCACTTTCGAGAAATACACTCAATTGCAAATCAAATTGGTTTTCATGAGAGACGCAACTGAATCTCTCGTTTATGATATTCTACAACTGAATGTGCTGCACACAGGCCGCCTCATGTTTCAGTTGGCTTGATATTCGAGATATCGCAGTATATTTTCATAAAGGAGACTACTCACATTCAACTACTCAAATATGCACATTGTTTAAGCTAGAAACATTATCAAGAGAGGATCTGTTCCCCGGCTGATTACTGAATTACGCCAACCAAACAGTTGGAAGGCTACGGTGAGGTATGTGTTGTCCGTGTGCTTCTTTAGAGTGCGAGAGCAAAGTTAGGTAAAGCAAATATGACCTATATGTATGTACATGTGAATGCATTTTGAATCACGCTTGTGGTTGTAAACTAATCGAATACATTCTTTCACGCCCGTTCCCATCGAAAGGTCACGTGACGGTAAGTTATGCTGTCAGTCATTTGCACAACTTCTCAGCACGAGCCCATGTTTACGCTAATTTTTAGTACTCAATGTGTACTCTAGACATTCCGTGTAAGTGAAACTCAAAAAAGAAACATTAACTGTCGGCTGGTTGGCTAACCGGTTGGATCGATAACTTCTCAAGTCATCCAGAATTAGAGTTTATCTTTTATTGCTACCGTATTTGACTAAGAGATGGTGGGTGGGTGTTTACCAAGAAGGTGGAACTTAGTTTCATGTTTTTAACAATAAATTAGGAATTCAATAAACTCTTAGAGACATTTTGAACTGCATTCTAATGGGACAACTACATGTGGGACTTGCAACGGAGGTCCGGATGACCTCTTTGAACTTTTTAACCTTTCTTCCAAACGCCTTCCCATCTGTTTATGCTCATTTCCAAAAAATCGATTCAAAACTTCACTCAAGTCACGTCATTCGTTGATTGCACACACTAGACAAGAGCTTGATTAAAGGGCTTGAATGTATCCAGTGTTCAACGAAGTTCAAGAAGCTGATGTTATTTGCGTCTCCGTTTCCAGTATTTTCACAAGTAGTTTATCTT